TTATTATGGAACAAATATATTGATTTATTACAAATTAGCAGAAATAATGCATGTTAATAATATTAATTAAAAAAAATATATGCAAGAGTGTTTTATAGTATATTATATTATATTATTTTGTATATAATGTTTTATGGATGCGTAATATAGTTGTACACTAATCTTGCAAGTCAACATCCATTTCTATAACATTATCATCTAATATCATTGAATCATGCTCATTATCCAGAAATGAGTATGGAGTGTATGAACAATTCTCCAGCTGAGTTCTAATGTCCTCAAGGTAGCTTCTATAAGTTGAATTCTTTTCAACAACTTTTTCAATAACTTCAGTGGCACTTTTATATGGTCGATTCTCATATATGGCCTTAGATATGGCCTCTCCAGCCCCTTTGATCACATTAGCAATTTGATTGGGCTCTGCAGAGTTGATATTGAGATCATTTATAATATCAAAAGTCAATCGTGAGGCAAACAAGGGGCCAAAATACTGATTGAAGTTCTCCTTTGAAATAATCAGGCAGTCATCTGGTAGATCTTTAGGATTCCCTTTGAATGGTTGTGATGTGAAAATGACAGTCACAATATGAGCCCCCTCAAGAAATTTCCTCAAATTATCATCTTTTACATCTTTATAAGCATTTTTGTTCTTATTGCATTCTTTTACAGCATCATCTATGGTAAATTTTTTTGATGTAGTGTACCATTTCTGTTGAAATGCTATAAGAAGATTTCTACTTTCAGGAATTGTTTTACGTAATAAAAAAACATCAGCAAATGGTGCTGAATGGCCATTTACAATAACCAATCCATCCAGATCCATGACTTTGTTATTTAAGTGGTTTCTTGGAAGGCCAATTTTTGGAAATTGGTTTTTTGCTTCACATAATTCAAGCTTTTCAAGCCTCACCCAGATGTTCAAAACAGAGACTTTGCCAATTGCTCCACGATAAAATTCTTTCAAAGGAATTCCATCTTTATACTTCTCTAGCTCAACAAGTATGTTGTTGCGAAATACCTCATAATTAGCTACAAATTTCTCCCAGGTATCCCAGGCCATTTGTGATTCAGGCTGGAACATTTTGTGTATAGTAGTAGGGATTGTGTTCAACCATATGTTGTATATGTAAATAAAGTAAAAAGGCATCTCAATAAAGTAAGTATTAGGACCAGGATTCCTTAGAATTAAAAACCCATCACGCTCCAGGCCCTCTACTGTTACTGTCCACTCACTATCCAATTTTGTATCAAGCTGAACCGGAATGGCTCCAATGCAGTGGTATAGAAGCTGACAACTAGCTTCACGGTTTTTCATAATAAATTTGTCCAATTTATACTTATTCACGAGAGTATTAATGACAGCATGGAATATGTCATCAAATAGTGTAAAATTTTTATCCTGCAGTTTTAGAAAGAATCCACCTCTTTTGAAACATTCATCAAGAACAGTTTCCAGTGCTCGTGGTAGCCCACCAGTATCATATAAAAGCTGTAAAAATTTGGTGTTGCACATCCAAAGTTTCTTTTTATCTCCTCCTTTTTCAGCAAAATAATTAAAAATTTCGATAATTGATTTGTTTGATAACAGGGGACACTTGACAAACTCAAAGGAATAATCTGTTGCTTTAAAGCTATTGGTAACATCTTGTGATGCTGTACCTGATAAAAATGTTTGAACGTAAAAATTCCTGTTTTCAGATTCTCTCATAAATTTTCCAAGAGCATACAACATTTCTTTAAAAAGTCTTTTCTCAGTCATTCCTCCTTCCCAACTTTTTTCAAAAGAGAAAATTTCCTGATACTCATCAATATGAAGTACTATGATGAGTTGCTGATTATGTTGAAATTCTTTACTTTTAATATGGCTGAGCACCAATTCTATCCCAAAAAATTTGATATATGGTTCTACTAAAATCTTGAATTCTTGAAATGATATTTTTCTTTTTCCATACACAAAGTAGTCAAAAGCAACACGGAGACCAAGAATGGTGGATGCTTCCAAATCTTTATCAAAACTACTAAGGCGAACACCACTTATGAAATCAAGAAACAGATAGAGGTATTCTGGTTTCTCCCAACTAGGTGGTGAACTCCAATCTTTTTTAACAGAGTTGAAGAACTCATTTCCCCAACGGGTTTTACCTGATGAAATACATGAAGTTAATGGTAGCTGACAATACATGATGTATATATAGTTATAGACAAATAGAATGAGTACCAATTCCAGCTGCCCCACTACAGACAAGGAAGTTGAAGCTTGACTTGGAAGCAAATCGATTAAAAGATTTAGTAACATTATTATTGAATACCATCAATGCTTTATTAGTATCACGTTCCTTTAGTGGCATTTTTTCTGGGATTTCTGTTCTCTTACTTGATGTTTCAATTTCAACTGGTATGTTCTGCAAGATAATGGATAAGGCCTCCTCAAACAATTCTTTGAGCATTAAAAAGCAAAAGTTAGTAGTTCATTATGGTATCAACTAATATTTACTAAGGTTGACTTACCAACAACAGGTCCTATAATAGGTGATGCATTTTTTGGCCAATAGGTAAATGAG